AAAAAAAAAAAAAAAAAAAAAATCAATAGAAGCATGTCCTTGAGTGAGGATTAAAATAAAAAGAAGACACTTCAAGACTGGTAAGAGGGGTGGACAAGGAACAGCAGGCCCCACGCTGCAGTGTGGTGATAAGAGCTGGGAAGGGCAGCTCGTCTGCAGAGTTCACCCCTGAGCAGGAGCAGCCCCAGCCTCTCACCAGGCCCCCCCGTCTGGGGCTCCAGTGCCAGGAAGAGGAGTCCCCATAATATCTGCTTATAAAAACCAGTGAGGATTGCATCAAGTGAGACGAAGGGCCACCAGAGACCAGGCGCTATAGGTCTTAAAGGGACGGACCATGCACAGACTCGCTCACTCACAAACTCACTTTCTCTAAGCTCCGGGGGGCGGGGGGGCAGCAGCTGGAAAAGCAACAGGGACATACAGGAAGGCACTAAATTGACTAGCTTCAGGTCGCAGGCTGGAGGGGCAGGGGTTGGGACAGCTGTGTGCAGAACAGAAGTGCTGGCCTGGGCCATTGTTCCTTTGTTGAGCTCTCCCCGGACACCCAGCCAGCACACACAGGTGGGTGCCAAATCTGAGCTCTCCATTAACCTGGATAATATTGTTTGCCCCACCCTGGTGGTTCCCTGAGACTCGGCCCCACCCAAATAGCCTGCTCTGCTTAAGCCTCTTCCAGCAGCTTTTCCTAACAAACAGCTTGACTCAGCTTGTTCTGTGGACTTTCCTAATGTCTCTCAAAGATCCACAAAACCCAAACAAGCAGCGGCTGGCCTCAGAATGCTCTATAACTCTTGCTAAGTTACTCCAAGCCCAGCACAAGTGGCAAGTGCTCTCAATGTGCATTGTCACTCCTATCAGGTAGCCCCAATTGCATTCAGGCTTGGCTTGGAACATTGTCTCAATGAAATTGCCACAAATCTGGCACAAGGGGCAGCTCTCATTGTGATGCCTACCAAAGGGACCAGCCTGACACTAGTGGCAACCAACCTTGGTTCACAGGATGGCCTCTTTCAAGACCAACACTCCAAGATCAGCACAAGTGGCAACCAACAGCAGATTACTTTGTAGATCCCACCAGATGGCCCCAAGCTGGGGACAAGTGGTGGCTAAACTTGACCTGCACTGGAGCCCCTTGCAAGAAAGAATCTTAAGAGAGGCAAGAGGCTCCGGAACCAGCACATCTGGTGGCCAGTTTCAGACCACACCAGAGCACCACTCAACCAGCTTACAAAGAGGGGCAGACTCAGATGGCACTAGAACCCCGCTAAAGCAATCCTGCTCTGTGGGCTCAGCCCCTGCACAACAGCTCTTCTACTATAGCCATGGCCAGTCTTCACAGTCAGCCTAAGGGTCAGTCCCACCCACTGACATGCCAACAGCAATCAAGATTCAACTACAGCAGGACGGTCCACGCAGTCCACACAAGGGAGACCCCTGGAGCACCCAGTTCTGGTGACCAGAAAGACTGTGCCACTGGACTCCACAAGACCCCTACTAATTAGGCCACTCTGCCAAGACCAGACACACAGCATGTCTACCTAATACATAGAAACAAACACAGGAAATCAGCCAAAACAAGGGGACAAAGAAACATGTCCCAAGGGAAAAAATAGGACGAAACTCCAGGAGAAGAACTAAACCGCATAAAGAAGCTGTCGACCAGACGCAGAGTTCAAAACGCTGGTTATAAGGATGCTCAGTGAACTTAGGGGGACAATAGACGATCTCAGTGAGAACTTCAACAAAGAGATAGAAAACATAAAAATGGAGATAGAAAACATAAAAAAGAGCCAGTCAGAAATAAAGAATACAATAACTGATATGAAAAAGACATTAGAGGGAATCAACATCAGATTAGATGAAACAGGATCAAATCAGTAATCTGGAAGACAAGGTAGCAGAATACACATAAATGGAACAGAAAAAAGAATTTTAAATTATGAGGATAGTTTAAGGGGCCACTGGGAAAGAGAAGAGAGAGAGAGAGCAAAGGATTAAAAAACTATTTGAAGAAATAATGACCAAAAACTTACCTAACCTGGGGGAGGAAACAGAGAAGACCAAGAAGCACCTAGAGTCCCAACAAAATGAATTCAAGGAGGACCACACTAAGATACATAATAATTAAAATGCCGAAAGTTAAAAACAAAGAGATAATTTTTTAAAAGTCCTCACTCGAAGATATATATTTCTTTAAATTTTTTGTTGATTTTAAAGAGAGAGGGAGGGAGAGGGAGAGAGAGAGACAAACATAGGTGTGAGAGAGAAACATTGATTGGTTGCCTCTTGTACCCGCTCTGACTGGGGATCAAACCCACAACCCTTTAGTGCACTGGATGATGCTCCAATCAACTGAGCTACATTGGCCAGGGCCAAAGAAAGACTCTTAAGAGCAACAACCTCCCCTCCCCCAAACCCCAAACAAACAAACAAACAAACAAACAAACAAAAAGCAGTTACCTATAAGGGAACTCCCATAAGACTGTCAGTTTATTTCTCAACAGAAACTTTGTAGGCCAGAAAGGAATAGTATAAAATATTCAAAGATGAAAGACAAAAATCTACAATCAAAATTGCTCTACCCAGCAACACTGTCATTTAGAATTGAAGGAGCATTAAAGAGCTTCCCAGGCAAGGAAAAGCTAAAGTAGTTCCAAAGGGGTTCATTACCATTAGACCAGTATTACAAGAAATGTTAAAGGGACTTCTTTAAGAGGAAAAGAAGAGATCAGAAATGTGAATAAGAAAATATAGGAAAAGAAATTCTCACTGACAAAGGCAAACACTTAGTAAAAGCAGTGGATCAACCAACTGTAAAAAAGAACAGAGGTTAAAAGACAAAAGTAGGAAGATGTGTGTAATTACAACAATAAATTAAGGAATGCACACAAACACACACACAAAGAAGTAAAAAGTAATGACAAAAACATAAAAGTGGAGAGGGTGAGTAATAATTGTAATGATTTTAGAATATATTCAAACTTAAGCTACCATTCACTTAAAATAAACTGCTATAAACATAACAGTATATATGAAGCACATGGTAAGCCCAAAACAAAAATCTATAAGAGATGTATCAGAAGTTAAAAGAAAGGAATCCAAACACTATACTATAGAAAGTTGTCAACATACAAGTGAGCAAGAGAATAAGAAAGGAACAGAGAACTACAAAAAACAAGCAGAAAACTATTAATATCATGGCACTACCTATCAATTATAACTTTAAATGGACTAAAGGCTCCAATCAAAAGACATAGGGTAGATGAATGGATAAAAAAATACTCATACATCTGCTGCTTACAAGATACCTACTTTAGATAGAAAGACACATACAGAGTGAAAATAAAGGGATGGAAAAAGACATTTCATGCAAATGAAAACAGAAAAAAATGCCAGGGTAGCAATACTTATACTAAACAAAATAGACTTTAAAACAAGGGCTGTAAGAAGAGACAAACAAGGACATTTCATAATAAGAAAGGGATCAATCCAACAAGAGGATAAACTCTTGTAAATATCTAGCACCCTACATAGGAGCACCTAAATATATAAAGCAAATCTTGATGGACATAAAGGAAGAGAGCACAGTAATAAGTCATAGTGGGGGATTTTAACAACCAAGAAATCAATG